GCCTATAAGTTCATCACGGGGGCACAGAAGGGAATTGGTGAGTATTTATTCACCGAGGTGCCCCCGGGGGTTACAAGAAATAATGGCCACAAGCTAGCAGAGAGCAGATTTAGATTGGACATTAGGAAGAACTTCTTCACAGTTCGAGTGGCCAAGGTCTGGAACGGGCTCCCAAGGGAGGTGGTGCTCTCCCCTACCCTGGGGATCTTCAAGAAGAGGTTAGATGAGTATCTAGCTGAGGTCATCTAGACCCAGCACGCTTTCCTGCTTATGCAGGGGGTTGGACTCAATGATCTGTTGAGGTCCCTTCCGACCCTAACATCTATGAATCTATGAATCTATAAGATTATAGCAGAGAAATTGAAGTAATAGCTGGCATTTTCATTTGAAATCTGTGGCCTAATGTTAGTAGTTATTCCTAGCAAGAATCTAAGACTGTCCTTACATACCATTAACCAATAAAAAAATTAAAAAGGCTTGATAGTGCATCAAACTGTGTAGGAAAAGAGAAAACAAATCTATCTGGGCATGATCAAAACTTTTCTTCCCATGTCTTGTACCCTGTGGTTGAACTACCCTCTAAATTCCTTAGAGGCCTAAAGCTCATTTATACAGGTCCAGTTTGCCTTAATTAAAACAACAAAGGTAGTCTCTCTAGAGTCTACCCAAATCATGAGTGCATATGTTCATGAAACAGGAGTGTTTGTCTTTGTTCTTCTTAAAATTATATGTATTTAATTCCTCTTATATATCTATATCTACATATAAATAAATATAGATATCTATATCTATACTCTTAAATATATATTTAATATTTATATATATAAATAAAAAGGTTCCATGTGTAGCAATGACAACCTGGCAATGACAAGATTACCACAGATGGTTGTCAGCTCAATTCATACCACTGCTCAGATTTTATCTGGCACTCAGAATAAGAGAAAAACAGAAAGATGGAAATCAAACTGATTTCACTGTTTTTTCTTGCCTCCTCTGAATATCAGGTCATGGGCTCCCTTCTCCTGCTGTGGTAAACCATTTCCTATTGCTCGCCTCTCAATAACTAATGGAAATTGCATTTCCAGAATGTCATTATTCTAGAAATGCAATATTATTCAACAAAACATTATTACATTGACAGACCCAGGCTTATGATTTCATGAAATTTTATAACCAGGTTTGTCTGTAGCCATCAATGAAGCAGCCCCTATACTTCCTTCTTTTTATTCATCGTCATAGGTCACCTTAGTTCATAGTAATGATAATAAGTGTGAGGGTCACTTGAGTGCTGGTGGGACTGAAGCTCAGACCAACCAAACATTTTAAAATTTTGCCTTAGTACACAGAAAGGCAAGTTATAGTCAGCATTTCTGAAGTGGTAAACAACACAGTAATTCTGTGCACCCTCCATGTGGCTGCAGATACAGATGCTTTCTGTGGCAAGGAAAATAATTTTGTGGACAAAAATGTAAGGATCTTGCCTGAACTTTCTGGAGCCATGGGACAAACCAGAGTTCTTCCAGAGACAAATGCCACATTTTCTTACAGAGGTGTTGAAAGATCTTATATCATTACTAACTGGCAATGATTTCTAAAAAGAATCCAGTCCATAGATTCATAGATGTTAGGGTTGGAAGGGACCTCAATAGATCATCGAGTCCGACCCCCTGCATAGGCAGGAAAGAG